GGTGGAAGAGGACGCTTTGTAAATTAACAAATTTAAAAAGATTTCGATACTCTTACAAACTGTGGAACAAGTATCAACCGCGAAATGCTCCACACTTTATTGAACACTTTGTTAAATAATTTCAAACCATTCTGGCTAAAGGAGCATGAAGAATGAAATTTAAAATGTATAAAAAGGGATAATCTTATTCGTATTGATGCTTGAAAATACATGTAATAAATCTTAAATCTTTGAATATTACCTTTCATTTTACAACAAGAAAGTTGAAACACAAGAAATCTTACAAAATCATAGACTATTTTGTTGTGGCTGATCAATTGAAATTTGAACAAAAACGTTTTCTCAACGGTACATGTCTTTAGAGGACAACTGTTCTAAGTCGCTGAATTTAAGTGTTTTTTTTCATTTTGGATATGACCAGTAGAACAGAAACATGTTATTACGCTCTTGGGAACGTCTACATGGACTTACAAAACTATGATTTAGCTGTGGAGAACTACAATCATTGTTTAGAAATCCAAAAACAGTTTCTCCCCGAAAATCATCCCGATTTAGCACTTACACGAAACTGCATTGGCTTATTATATAAAAAGAGACAGAAAGAAGAAAATGAAAGAAGGAGTAATTGTTCGCGTATCCGGAGAAGCATATTGTCTTCTGTTGCACTTTTTAACAATCAACAACAACATATTAAATGTCATGAAAGAAAGTGATGAATAATGAAGAAAATGGCATTTTATGTTGTTAAGAGAACACAGAAAACATAAAAGAGCATTTTTTATTATAAAAATATAAAAATGAATAATAAACACAAACGGTAGCGCACAGAATCTTATCGCTATTAAAGGTACCAAAGAATTAAGAATTTTTTAAGTATATATCTGTCGTATCGGAGTTAGCATGTTTATCGAAGTTGTAACTTCGATAGCCCATCTTATGAAGTTATAACTTCTATGAATTCTTTTATCGAAGTTTCAACTTCTACAAACATACTTCATCGAAGTTATAACAGCTAATATGTCAGGTGCACGTTTTGGACCGCCAACGATATCTGCTATCGGTACCAACTAAATGAAAAATAATGGAAAATAACTATGACAGATATCAATTAGGTATAGAAAATGGTGTTTTATTGGATTATTATAGTTTTCATAAAGTATGTAAGACACCAGGTTTACCAACATTATTGACGCAAGATATTGCGAAAGAGGAACTGAAAAATCATTAAGTAGTCAGACTTCAAAGTGGTACTGATGAACAGGAACGTTAAAATGCGATCGTAAAAGGGGTTGTACAACAAATAGATGTAAACGAGCGAATGTGTTATCATTCAGCAACATGTGGAATTTTGGATGGCTAAAACGGATGTGCATGTATCAGTATATGTATCTTCTCACTTTGTCTAGGTAAGTTGATACATTTTTGATGTTTTGATAGATAAATATCTATCTGCTGTCTAGCTGAAACATAACTTTAACTGTCACTTTTGACAATATCATTCAACTTAATGAAAACGACTTCGATGAAGTATGTTTGTAGAAGTTTTAACTTCGATAAGATGAGCTATCGAAGTTGTAACTTCTATACGACATATCTAAAGCGTGTACTGTATCAGATACTTTTTTGAAACTATAAAAAGGAACCCAAAATCGCCTTGAAGTTCGATGGAAAGAGACGCTGACCCATGCAGAACAGTTTCGGCAGAAAATGTTGTAAACATGGACGAACTACTAACGGTTGAACAGAATAAATTGTCAGCAGCTGTCAGCAGAAACATCAAGACAGATTCAATAAAGGAACAAGATGAAGGCGAAGTAGAAGAAGAAATAAATCTTGAAACCTATTCTCTGTTGTGGTGTGATGAAAACGTTAATAAAACAGATGAAAATCGTGAAATACAAACAGAATTACGTCGTGCAATTAACTATCTGAAAGCATTTGATTCAATTGATCTGTGCAAACATTATATTCAGCGTAAGTCAAATGAAGAAATTATTTTGATTGTATCGGGACGTACTGGATCACAATTGGTACCAGAAATTTATGATTTATTACATCTGGTTGCTATATATGTCTACTGTTTCGACAAAGATGAATACTTTCTCTGGTCAAAAAACTACGAAAAGGTAAATATAGAGTTTAAATAAATAAATACAGTTTAAACTAAAACTTAATATAGAATACCACCGATATACTAGAAACAGCTCGTCTCCTAGGTGCATAATCTACATCATTGTAAAAGATGCTAAACCGCAGCATTTTATAGTTGTCACCTTTTCTGATGGACACTGGTCTACAAAAGCGCTGATACATCGATAAATACAGATTCACGCCTGTCACGCAAATCGATTTGAAAATTCTATTTCATGCGTCGTGACCTTTCGCTCGAAAGACTTTTTGTACGTATTTTATATGCACAACCTATGTATAATTTATATGTACATATAGAGTGATCGATGCTCCTTCCGATGGCACAAACGCAACTCATTTCGGCATTCCTATCAAAAGTTAGAATTTTATTGCAAAAAGTCGATTCTTTAACGTATTTTTGTATATTTCATAGCCCTCTTGCAAAACCTATAGCTTTTGACAGAAGCAATACTTTCTCAAACCAAGAACGCCATTGGAAAGAGTATATCTTAGAATGCTGGAAAAACTGTGATGGATCAAAATTTTGAAATGGGCGCTGAGCATGGTTCTTCCAGGACTGCCAAAATTAAGGACCTGTAAGGCTCAAAATTGAGATTTACAGGTTTTTATGGATGCTGAACGAAATGAGCACAGTTAGAAGGAAAACTCAGATAATAATCGAACGCGTTATGAGAGTCCATCGTTTTTCTTGCGCAATGTTATCGTATTCAAGAACCAAAGTTGGTGGTATCATGTGTGCATTTTAATCTCTTCAGACTTTGACAAAGGCTTTACTAAAATTTGCTTGTTTCGTGTACTTAGATAAAGTTCGTTACTAATAGTTCAGTCGAGTTGATCGAGCAAATTACGAACGGTCAGTTGAAACTCAACAAGATTATAAGACAAGATTTAAAACTGGCTGTATTTAATCCAGCAACGTTAATCAGAAGGACACCATTAACAACGACCACACTAGTATCCTCAAAAGAATATTCACATCAAAATCTCGACAGTAATTTTATGTGGTTTCAGTTAATGGTTGAAGTTTTTTTGAGAATGAACGATGAAACAAGGAAGAATGGTTTAAACGAACTGATTGCAAACTGTAAAAAACAGTTTAGTGGTAATCATAATGATTTAGCAATTATTGAAGGATTAGAAGAATGCTATCATCCGCAAGCTGCTCTCTATTTGTATACGAGCGATTCATTCTTGTACAAAATGTTAAATCGTGCCCTACGATGTCAAGATGTGAGCACATTAGTCACATTATGTTTTTTTATTCGTGATATACATGATCAATTGAAATTTGAACAAAAACTTTTTCCAAGCGATACAACGGTACATGTCTTTAGAGGACAACTAATGTCACTGAAGGAGCTTGAAAAGTTGAAAATGAATGTTGGACATTATGTGTCGATGAGCAGTTTCTTTCAACGACAAAAAATCGACAAATGGCTTTAGAAGTGTATACCGGTGCAGGTTGCAGATCATCTTTGAGCGAACAAGCTGTTTTGTTTGAAATTGAAGCTAATACTAGCACAGAAGGTGCTAAACCATTTGCTGATATTACTAAAGAGAGTGCTTTTGAGGACGCGGAACAAGAAATATTATTTATGCTTGGCAGTGTATTTAAAATTTTGGATGTTTCAAGAAACAAAGAAAGGATGCTATGGATAATTAAACTAGTTTTGTCGGGAGAAAAAGAGAGCGAACTGAAGCCTGTATTTGAGTATATAGGAAAGGAAATCTCTGACACTACAGACCTTTCCTCGATTGGATCTCTTTACATGGCAATGGGGAAAATTAACGAATCAGAAAGATATTACAAGCACGTCTTAGATTCTTTACAACAGGATGATCCTCGTGCTCCAGGTTGTTATAACAATCTTGGTCTAATTGCTTTCTTCGGAGAGGGTGATTATGATAAAGCTTATTTAAACTACACAAAAGCACTAGAGTTGGAAATGAAATTACCAGTTCCCGATCAGTCAAATATCGCCAATTATTACTATAATCTAGGCACTGTTCTTAGAGATAAGATGCAATATTACCAAGCGTTAGACAACTATTCTAAGTCGCTGAATTTAAGTGTAATACATTTTGGATATGACCATATTAGAACAGAAACATGTTATTACGCTCTTGGGAACGTCTACATGGACTTACAAAACTATGATTTAGCTGTGGAGAACTACAATCATTGTTTAGAAATCCAAAAACAGTTTCTTCCCGAAAATCATCCCGATTTAGCACTTACACTAAACTGCATTGGCTTGTTATATAAAAAAAAAGATAATAACTACGAACTAGCTATGTCTTATTATACAAAAGCATTATCAATTCAATTAGCATGTACTCCTTAAGAGCTAACTCTTTGTCATCTCTACGTTTATGCAAAAGTGCAATGTTTTTATGTAGTAATATTAAGCTCGGATGATTTTCGGGCAATTGAGCCTTATCATATATTTGTAATGCTTTTTCGTAGTTAATGATAGCCTCTGGATAATTTTTATATTCTCCAGCCAATAGTGCACCAATTTTCACATATGTATCAGCCGTCTCATCGCTATCTGGAGTACATGCTAATTGAATTGATAATGCTTTTGTATAATAAGACATAGCTAGTTCGTAGTTATTATCTTTTTTTTTATATAACAAGCCAATGCAGTTTAGTGTAAGTGCTAAATCGGGATGATTTTCGGGAAGAAACTGTTTTTGGATTTCTAAACAATGATTGTAGTTCTCCACAGCTAAATCATAGTTTTGTAAGTCCATGTAGACGTTCCCAAGAGCGTAATAACATGTTTCTGTTCTAATATGGTCATATCCAAAATGTATTACACTTAAATTCAGCGACTTAGAATAGTTGTCTAACGCTTGGTAATATTGCATCTTATCTCTAAGAACAGTGCCTAGATTATAGTAATAATTGGCGATATTTGACTGATCGGGAACTGGTAATTTCATTTCCAACTCTAGTGCTTTTGTGTAGTTTAAATAAGCTTTATCATAATCACCCTCTCCGAAGAAAGCAATTAGACCAAGATTGTTATAACAACCTGGAGCACGAGGATCATCCTGTTGTAAAGAATCTAAGACGTGCTTGTAATATCTTTCTGATTCGTTAATTTTCCCCATTGCCATGTAAAGAGATCCAATCGAGGAAAGGTCTGTAGTGTCAGAGATTTCCTTTCCTATATACTCAAATACAGGCTTCAGTTCGCTCTCTTTTTCTCCCGACAAAACTAGTTTAATTATCCATAGCATCCTTTCTTTGTTTCTTGAAACATCCAAAATTTTAAATACACTGCCAAGCATAAATAATATTTCTTGTTCCGCGTCCTCAAAAGCACTCTCTTTAGTAATATCAGCAAATGGTTTAGCACCTTCTGTGCTAGTATTAGCTTCAATTTCAAACAAAACAGCTTGTTCGCTCAAAGATGATCTGCAACCTGCACCGGTATACACTTCTAAAGCCATTTGTCGATTTTTTGTCGTTGAAAGAAACTGCTCATCGACACATAATGTCCAACATTCATTTTCAACTTTTCAAGCTCCTTCAGTGACATTAGTTGTCCTCTAAAGACATGTACCGTTGTATCGCTTGGAAAAAGTTTTTGTTCAAATTTCAATTGATCATGTATATCACGAATAAAAAAACATAATGTGACTAATGTGCTCACATCTTGACATCGTAGGGCACGATTTAACATTTTGTACAAGAATGAATCGCTCGTATACAAATAGAGAGCAGCTTGCGGATGATAGCATTCTTCTAATCCTTCAATAATTGCTAAATCATTATGATTACCACTAAACTGTTTTTTACAGTTTGCAATCAGTTCGTTTAAACCATTCTTCCTTGTTTCATCGTTCATTCTCAAAAAAACTTCAACCATTAACTGAAACCACATAAAATTACTGTCGAGATTTTGATGTGAATATTCTTTTGAGGATACTAGTGTGGTCGTTGTTAATGGTGTCCTTCTGATTAACGTTGCTGGATTAAATACAGCCAGTTTTAAATCTTGTCTTATAATCTTGTTGAGTTTCAACTGACCGTTCGTAATTTGCTCGATCAACTCGACTGAACTATTAGTAACGAACTTTATCTAAGTACACGAAACAAGCAAATTTTAGTAAAGCCTTTGTCAAAGTCTGAAGAGATTAAAATGCACACATGATACCACCAACTTTGGTTCTTGAATACGATAACATTGCGCAAGAAAAACGATGGACTCTCATAACGCGTTCGATTATTATCTGAGTTTTCCTTCTAACTGTGCTCATTTCGTTCAGCATCCATAAAAACCTGTAAATCTCAATTTTGAGCCTTACAGGTCCTTAATTTTGGCAGTCCTGGAAGAACCATGCTCAGCGCCCATTTCAAAATTTTGATCCATCACAGTTTTTCCAGCATTCTAAGATATACTCTTTCCAATGGCGTTCTTGGTTTGAGAAAGTATTGCTTCTGTCAAAAGCTATAGGTTTTGCAAGAGGGCTATGAAATATACAAAAATACGTTAAAGAATCGACTTTTTGCAATAAAATTCTAACTTTTGATAGGAATGCCGAAATGAGTTGCGTTTGTGCCATCGGAAGGAGCATCGATCACTCTATATGTACATATAAATTATACATAGGTTGTGCATATAAAATACGTACAAAAAGTCTTTCGAGCGAAAGGTCACGACGCATGAAATAGAATTTTCAAATCGATTTGCGTGACAGGCGTGAATCTGTATTTATCGATGTATCAGCGCTTTTGTAGACCAGTGTCCATCAGAAAAGGTGACAACTATAAAATGCTGCGGTTTAGCATCTTTTACAATGATGTAGATTATGCACCTAGGAGACGAGCTGTTTCTAGTATATCGGTGGTATTCTATATTAAGTTTTAGTTTAAACTGTATTTATTTATTTAAACTCTATATTTACCTTTTCGTAGTTTTTTGACCAGAGAAAGTATTCATCTTTGTCGAAACAGTAGACATATATAGCAACCAGATGTAATAAATCATAAATTTCTGGTACCAATTGTGATCCAGTACGTCCCGATACAATCAAAATAATTTCTTCATTTGACTTACGCTGAATATAATGTTTGCACAGATCAATTGAATCAAATGCTTTCAGATAGTTAATTGCACGACGTAATTCTGTTTGTATTTCACGATTTTCATCTGTTTTATTAACGTTTTCATCACACCACAACAGAGAATAGGTTTCAAGATTTATTTCTTCTTCTACTTCGCCTTCATCTTGTTCCTTTATTGAATCTGTCTTGATGTTTCTGCTGACAGCTGCTGACAATTTATTCTGTTCAACCGTTAGTAGTTCGTCCATGTTTACAACATTTTCTGCCGAAACTGTTCTGCATGGGTCAGCGTCTCTTTCCATCGAACTTCAAGGCGATTTTGGGTTCCTTTTTATAGTTTCAAAAAAGTATCTGATACAGTACACGCTTTAGATATGTCGTATAGAAGTTACAACTTCGATAGCTCATCTTATCGAAGTTAAAACTTCTACAAACATACTTCATCGAAGTCGTTTTCATTAAGTTGAATGATATTGTCAAAAGTGACAGTTAAAGTTATGTTTCAGCTAGACAGCAGATAGATATTTATCTATCAAAACATCAAAAATGTATCAACTTACCTAGACAAAGTGAGAAGATACATATACTGATACATGCACATCCGTTTTAGCCATCCAAAATTCCACATGTTGCTGAATGATAACACATTCGCTCGTTTACATCTATTTGTTGTACAACCCCTTTTACGATCGCATTTTAACGTTCCTGTTCATCAGTACCACTTTGAAGTCTGACTACTTAATGATTTTTCAGTTCCTCTTTCGCAATATCTTGCGTCAATAATGTTGGTAAACCTGGTGTCTTACATACTTTATGAAAACTATAATAATCCAATAAAACACCATTTTCTATACCTAATTGATATCTGTCATAGTTATTTTCCATTATTTTTCATTTAGTTGGTACCGATAGCAGATATCGTTGGCGGTCCAAAACGTGCACCTGACATATTAGCTGTTATAACTTCGATGAAGTATGTTTGTAGAAGTTGAAACTTCGATAAAAGAATTCATAGAAGTTATAACTTCATAAGATGGGCTATCGAAGTTACAACTTCGATAAACATGCTAACTCCGATACGACAGATATATACTTAAAAAATTCTTAATTCTTTGGTACCTTTAATAGCGATAAGATTCTGTGCGCTACCGTTTGTGTTTATTATTCATTTTTATATTTTTATAATAAAAAATGCTCTTTTATGTTTTCTGTGTTCTCTTAACAACATAAAATGCCATTTTCTTCATTATTCATCACTTTCTTTCATGACATTTAATATGTTGTTGTTGATTGTTAAAAAGTGCAACAGAAGACAATATGCTTCTCCGGATACGCGAACAATTACTCCTTCTTTCATTTTCTTCTTTCTGTCTCTTTTTATATAATAAGCCAATGCAGTTTCGTGTAAGTGCTAAATCGGGATGATTTTCGGGGAGAAACTGTTTTTGGATTTCTAAACAATGATTGTAGTTCTCCACAGCTAAATCATAGTTTTGTAAGTCCATGTAGACGTTCCCAAGAGCGTAATAACATGTTTCTGTTCTACTGGTCATATCCAAAATGAAAAAAAACACTTAAATTCAGCGACTTAGAACAGTTGTCCTCTAAAGACATGTACCGTTGAGAAAACGTTTTTGTTCAAATTTCAATTGATCAGCCACAACAAAATAGTCTATGATTTTGTAAGATTTCTTGTGTTTCAACTTTCTTGTTGTAAAATGAAAGGTAATATTCAAAGATTTAAGATTTATTACATGTATTTTCAAGCATCAATACGAATAAGATTATCCCTTTTTATACATTTTAAATTTCATTCTTCATGCTCCTTTAGCCAGAATGGTTTGAAATTATTTAACAAAGTGTTCAATAAAGTGTGGAGCATTTCGCGGTTGATACTTGTTCCACAGTTTGTAAGAGTATCGAAATCTTTTTAAATTTGTTAATTTACAAAGCGTCCTCTTCCACC